CGTCACCACAGTTTGTCCTTCATGAGCCTTCATAGACAAGATGGTGGTGCAAGATGGCGGCTGCCTGTGTGGTGACCCGCAAACATGGAGATATAAACAGCTTTTTATAAGGTAAAAATAATAAAACAAGGTCTTTGTCTGCAATGATTAATGTTTTCTTTTATTATTGTCATTAGTGATTATCTCAATTTCAGCTAAAAGAACTGACAAAATCCTACACACTGTGCCTTTAAGAAAGGGCTGAAAGTAGAAATCCTGTGTGGCAGCACTTCACTCAGCCTTCACCAGACAAGGCTTAGTTAATAAATGTTTTTGTTTGTTTGTTTTGTTTTAAATTGAGACCTGTGTAACATTTGTTATCATTCTTATTTTTATCATGTTAGTGGAGAAAGAAAAGGCAGTAAAGGCTTCAAGAATCGGCCAAAAAAAATTGGCTGCATGTATCGGCGTATCGGTTAGACTGATATAAAAAAAATCGGTCTCGGTATCAGCCTTCACGGTCGATCTCTAGTAAAGACATTTCCAAACCAGCAGCATTTAATTTAGAATTCATCCTACCAATTCACAGCCCTAGAATTAAAACCATGAAGCAGAACTCTCAATTAACAAGTGAGAAGAGTAGACTGCGCTCATCCAGCAGAACAGCTTTCAGACAGACGCTGACAGGAAGTACCCTCCTGTGTTTGAAGCCGTTAGCAGCCGTGTGAAACGAGTTCGTGTTCGGGGAGAACCCAGACAGGAGAAGCAGTGACTKTCTCTGCAGGTGGACAAGAAAAGAAAAATACAGCTGATGCAAAACAAAAATAATAAATCCACCAGGAGAACAAAACCCRGAGGATGGGGAGAGGAGGGAGACAGAGATGGATGGTTTGTTGGGAAGAAGGGGAAGTAAACAAAGAAAGGGAGCAGAAGGTGTGTGAGTTGCTGCAGGACCAACCTGACTGTCGCTGGTCACCGCTTCATTAACAACAGACTTTCAGCGGACTCAAACCGAGCCTTATAGATTGAAACACTTTCATCTGGAGCAGAGAGTCGGGTCACTCAGACACCAGACAGCTTGAGATCAAGGAGTATGGATTTTACCCAATTTACACCAGCTTTTAAGCAAAAACAAGAGAACCTACAGGTGTTTTATAAATCACACCAGCAGGTTTGACTTGTTCCAGTCTGACATCTTCCCTTTTCAAAAGCAGACAACAAAACAACACAAAGGAAAACAGAGGGTGAAGAATATGGGTTTTTATTAAAGATTGACTCCCAATGTTCAAATCAAATACACAGAACATAAAAAGAGTCAATAAGAAATAAAAATGTGACACAAAATACTTTGTACGGATGAAAAATCTTAGGAGAAAAAGAAAACTTTTAATCTGTAAATCAGAACTCAAATGAAAAACAGCTCAAATAGAAAAAAAAGAAACCAATAGTGCGAAAAAGATAAGCTTTAAAGGCATAAAACTTGCAGATAATAAAAAAGGCACAACACAAATCTAATGACTGAAGCCGAAACCCGAGTCGTCTTAATCAAACTGAGTGAGTTATTCAGTGGAGGAGTCAGTCAGCTTCAAAGGAGGCACACAAATCTGTGTGTGTGCGAGCTATCAGGCTGATGTTTGACAATGGAAAAGCTGATATGAAGAAATTAAGTCACAAGATGGAGAAAAGCTGTGTGCACTACAAAATAAAAATAAAAAATAGCTATGTTTTCTACATATTGAACAGCTGCACTGACTGAGCTCCAGATGAAAATCAGCTCAGAATGTCCTCTCGGTTTAAAAAACCCAAAACAAACGTAATCTTGGAAGTTTATGGCTGACGTACCTTACAGCCTCTCATTCTCTGGAAGTGACCGATGACGTCGCTGATGGTGTAAACTCGCACGTGACCCATGTGCAGTCGCCCCGACGGRTACGGGAACATGGAGAGGACATAAAACTTCTTCCTGTTGGAATCCTGGGATAAAGAAAAGCAGGCGACTTTAAGAGAAGTAGGAAAAGATTTGAATTCTGGGCGACGAGMGATAAATCTAAAGTTGTTTTTATTCAAGATGTCTTTTATGGAAGACTAGCTGCTGCTTCATTAATGTATGAGCCTCTAACAGCAGGTGATTACAGTGTCAGAATCTAAACGGTGGCAGACGCAGACATAATGGATGGTTTACAATCACAACACTGTCACCATGGCAGCACAGTCAGTACCAGTTTCACCCAGTGAGACGTTATTACAGGAAACCTGATTCATGAATTTTTCAGTAAATTAATTAAGAGCCAACGTCCTGTTGTAAACGCACTTAATCACTGTCAGCGTGTCCCAGACAGCCACACGGTCGGACCATTAGGAATTCTAATCAGCAGGAGCTCCGGATCTGAGCTACATGTACATCGACTCCAGCAGTCATCATGGATGAGGGGATAACAGGAAACAACCTGACTTAAAGGAGACGTGTCATGTCTTTAAATCCTTSTTTTTCACATTTAAATMATTTAGTTTGTATAAAGTGGAACTGCAATGCTTTGGTCTGAACTCCTCCTTATTGTAACTCCACAAGCCCCTCTTTCACCCCTGTTCTGAGGTGTGTCTCAGATCAACTCGTTTTGAGGCTGTCTCTTTAAATCTTTACAGCCCGCCCCTCTCCGGCTTTTAGAGTGGTCCATGCTCGTTTGATAGAGGAGTTTATGACTATTTAGCTGCACAGGAACTTTTTATTTACAAATTAAAAGATGTCAAAAATGGAAGACTTGTCCATAAAGCCTTACATGTTGGAGCCAGAGTCTGACCCAGAACCAGAGTCTGACCCAGAACCAGAGTAGATTGACGGCGACCAAAATAGTTGGTAAGTTCATATCTTATTTAAAGGTTCAGTTGCAAATACT